AAATAATATACACATTTTTAAATGAAAAGAATAAAGAAAATTCATATTTATGCAAACATATTATTTAGTTGTTTAGTCTAATGCAGTTTAAATTCTGCTGCAAATAAACATTTCATATTCCGACAGGATGAGATCCTTAAGAGTGTACATGTGATTTAAACCAGGTGAGTGGACATTTTCCTATTATTCTATTAATAACTGAAAATGCCAGCTCTTTTTATTTTATTTTATTTCGTCTGTGAACTTTGACAAATGACCCAACCGAAATATGCATGCATAATTGTAATGGTGTTTTATATGGCTAATATAACGCAGTACAACGTAAAGCATTTTGAGCTTTAGTTTGAAATCTTTCTCTTGGCATCTAATTAACATAATCTTATTGTCATCATTTTAATAATGAATAATGTGCGTAATTATTGTCATAACCTGAAACTTTTATACAGAAATTAAATGCTTTAAGTGAAGTTGAAAAGTTTTACTAAATGCATTCTTAAATAAATAAATAAATAATTATTCTGAAGAAAGAACTATACTTGGATGTATTATTTAGAATATTTGGAACTTTATCCATGTTGTATTTATAGCTAAAAAGGTTTTATAAAAGTTTTAACCTCGCACTTTTATCAGAATGGGAGCAACAGATGCAAAGTCTGAACTACTTTATAGCCTATATTGTTACAAAACTGTGTATTCCTGAATGTTAACCCTATTTGATATTTACTCCCAATAAGTTCTGAAACGGTGAGTTCCAGTTTAGAAAGCTAAAAATGAACTTCAAAAGATTTCTCGTATAAAAGTTGATAAATCTTGCCATAAATCTGAGGTTAAAGAGAGGCGCCCTGTCTGGTTTGCTGCCAAGAAACATACTGTAAAAACAGCACATAGGCTAGTCTTATTTTCTTTCTGTTTTGTTTTATTCTCATTTATTCTGCAAAAAATGGATTGTCGCAGGACGCGCGGGATGTTAGGCCAAAGTGTTTCCCGTTATTACACAACAGTGTCGTGAGTGAGGTGAGAGAGCATTATTTTATCTATAATGGACTGTGCACGTCTCAGGTTTAATAAGAGCATGACGTATGCCATTCACCAGTTGAAATGACAGCACGTCGGCTGGTGTGTCACGCCAAAAGATGCACCCTACTCATAAACCGAATTTGTATAGGCTAAACCATATGTTCAGCATTTTATATTCACATTTCACAGCAAAGCTATGCAGTGCATAAAGCAATGAAAGGACAAAGAACAGCGTCAGATCTGTGTTACTCTGGAATAATACATTTTTAAAATGCACTACAATTATTTTATCGAAAAGATGAAAAACTAATTCGCGCTGGTGTATTTGTAAACGAATATTTAAAAAAGATAAAGCAAGAAGTGTTTTTAAACACAAGGACCCGTTAGGAGAACACGAGATGAGTTACGTGGTTAATGATCATTATTATTTCTTTTAGAGTTTCGTGATCTCTACATGCTAAATTGTTTGCTTCGTTCGAGACCACCGGTCCCGATGTGGATAATTATTTATAATAAACACATTTTTATAAAAAGAGAGGCTGTTATGTCAGCAGGTTACTGATATTTTGTCAGGTGTTTTTCTTACTCGGGGAAAATAATATATTTTCCTCCTATGAATAGGCTATGTAATGATTATTATTTTATACGATAGTTAGGCTACACATTGTAGGCTATTTTATTCTTCAGCATTGCTTATTTGTTTATTATTTTCCACCACGTGATTTTTATCTGATTATATAATGTGATTATATAGGTTTTTATCTGTGTAAACTGCCTAAAACAATTCCAGTCCTTTTGAAGAAAACCTCATATTTACACCTCATATAGAATAACGTGTAAATGCAAATCAACATATCAATATATCAAATTGAAAATGGCACGGCGGAGATCTATGCAAATCTATGCAATGTTCATCTGAAGGAGAAAAAAACAGTCAGAAAGCTCAACTTTTAATCCTCTTTACGTGAACATGTTAAAAATAAGCGGATTCATTCACTGTTTGTAGCCATCCTGGCTCCAAAATAGTCAGTTGCTCGATGATAACGACAACAGGACTGAGTTTTAAAATAAGGTGAACAGCTGATTAATCTACATGTGATCATATGGACCGTCACTCGTCTTTTTAGACGACTAAATCAAAATTACGTACTGTTTTTTTAGTAATTCATCTTGATAATGTGGGGGAAAATGTTATAATAGCAGAAAACAAGCCTTTAAAAATAAATGTTCCAATTGACTTTATAGATTGACTCCATTGGAGAACCTTTTTAAAATAGAAAAAAAACTGTTTTATTGTTGTTTAGAAAACAGTCATATGCTGATGTTAAAAACAATGTGAATAACCTATAAATGTAACACCAATAACTTTTAACTCCAAAGAACCATATTTAACCATAAATGGTTTTGGATAAAAAAGAGGATTCTTTGATGAATCCTGCTGAATTTGGATAAAAAATAGGATTCTTCGCTGAATTACAAAGAACTGAAGAACCACGAGGACAGAGCAGTTACGGTTCAGACACCCCACACTCGGAGAAGCTTCTGTTAAATAAGAGTCATCTTACCTTTAAGAGCTGTTGCGTTATAGAGGGCGGTGCAGGGGCATCAGTGTGATGGAGGCTGGCCCTGGGGCGTGAGTTTACTCCAGCTAACTCCAAAACAGCTGAAGACTGGGGGGCTGAAAGAGACACCAGTGATCCTCGCTCAAGGAGGGGCATAAAAACACTTCAGGTGCTTTGTGATCGGGTTTTATAAGGAGATCTCTGCTGGATCTCCCTCACTGCGCTCCGCCCGGTGCTTGAGGACAGAAGATGCCCAGGCAGTTCCTCTGCCCAGTGTTCGGCTCGTCACTGTGGTTTGTACTGATACTCCAGTCTCTCATTTCCTCCGCCGTTACCTACAGGAGACCAGTGTCCGGAGGGAAGAGACAGAGCTTTCTGGAGAGAACCTTAATTTTACTGGACGTGAATACGCGAAGCCCGGTGAAAGTTTTGAATGACAACTTCCTCTCGTTGCAGTTGGATCCATCTATCATAAAGGATGGCTGGCTGGACTTCTTAAGGTATTGCAGTTTTGCAATTACACCCTACGCCTGACGATGCTTTGATGGTGCTGATGTGTGTGTGTCGATTTAGGAAGACCCTGCTGGAGAAGCCGTCCAATAGGTGTGTGTTAGAACATGGTAGCTGGTTTAAAGCTGGTCCAAACTGGTTAACCATATTGGATTAGCAACATACTATCTTAAAGTGGTCAATCTGGATGACCAGCTAGAAACCATCTTCCATGTTTCGAGCACAGCTACCAGGCTTCAACTGGATTTTCCAACAGGAACGCTACTAGACATTATCAGTGAATCTTTCCAATAACATATAACTGCCCAAACACCTAATACTGCTATTTTACTATGTTTTAATCTATCGACCAACGTCTTGAATACACATTTTTTGTACACAATACCATGTTTTTCTAAAGATATATGCTAACTCCAAACCCATTTGTTCTTATTAGACGTTTATTTTTCACAGATAAACTTTATGTTTGGTTGCACTTTTTTGAAAGAGACAGATTTGCTATGCAGCTTATAATTTTATCTTGTAAAATACCAGTGTAGCCTATCATATCTATTTACGAACTTTCGTACATTAATTTTACGCGTAAAGTAGAATTCGACATGTTTACGCGCAATGTTTAAAAAAAAAAAAAAAAAATCATCTGTTCAATCCTAGTGAAACAGTGTTGTTGGATGAGCTTCGCCCGATCTCTCTACTCCACATACGAATATGAATTTATATATTAGAGCGCGAAACCTGAATATTCGCGCAGATTTGAATGGTTGTGTTAATTTGCACACCAGGGCTTGACCTGGAAGTGAATATGAGTGTTCCAGCCCCCAGAGGAGAAAAGACACAAAACCATACGGAGAACCGAAATGTAAGTGTCTTTCATAGCCACGAACAGGTTTCAGTATCGATGTAGCGTAGTGTTTACCATCGATATATTACCAAATAATTATTATTATAGTCAGGATGAGGTGTTGGAAAAAAAGAATTTAAGAAGTGGCCCACATAAATCTGAACCACAATCTGCTGTCGTGGCATTTGTTAGTTTTCTGTCGCGTACAGTGCAAGTTATTGCAGACGTATAAAGCAGTCAAAGGGGTTTGTTTGGGTTTTACATTTAAATTGCGTACTTCGTTTCTTTCCGTATAGCCTATGGCAAGAAACTAGGACTGAATAAAAGCAGAATTTGACTTGTCTACTTGAACATTTATATCCACTATATTATGTTATTTTTTTACAATCTTCTATGGTTTGAGAACAGCCGTTCAACAGATTTGATGTGATATTTATAATGTTTAGCTAATGATATGCGCATGCATGCGTTCAAAATAAGGTTCTCATAATGTTAATGCTTATTGTACCAATAATAGGCTACCATTATGTTGAAGTATATATATGTAAATATATTAATTATTATCGCTATTATTCTGTCGTAAACTGCACTCATATTTTTTTCTTTTAAATTGTTAGATTCTAGTTGTTGTCATTTTCCCAAAATAACATGCTAGTCATGCTTGGTCTGATTAAATGTAATTATTCACATTATTGGACGTGACACCAGATGAGCGAATTGTGAGTTTGTGTGCCGCTACATGCTTAAGTTTTCTCTTTCTCCTAAATGTATTTTCTAAAAACCAGTTTCGGCCCACCGACCAAACACAGGCTTCGCCGATTCAGTTTCTGGCAATTTAGCTTGTTTTGCTTTTCACAAAATAATATAAAACAATTCACATAGTACATTTTATTTCACTCCTTTTTAATTCAATTTGATTTTATTCTTCTTTGATTTTATCTGTTGTTTTTATAAGTTCTCTACGCTCAAAAGCAGAATATTTGCGCAGTTTATAGGCTTAGTTTTATGTGCACCTTTTTACAGGTTCTCTTTTTACGACTGGTACCGTATCATGTCTCATTATTTAGGAAAGCACTAAAAAAAGAAGCTGGTATTTATTTATCATAATTTTTTTTTTTAGAAAGAAACGAGCGTGTGGCACCACAGGCTGCAGCTCTGTGTGAAATAATCTGCTGTTGATTCCACCACTGACTGCGGCCTAAAACCAATCATACATCACACTAAACCTGATGAACGTCAGTCTGTGAGTTTCCGTAAGAAAGTTATGCACCAATCTAATGGCGTCAACTAGGTCGCAAATAAAAAAAGACTGAAGAAAATATCCAAAAAATAAAATAGGAGTTTATAATAATTGATGAGCTTTGAGATATTATTCCCTTGTCCTGCTCTGAAAATGATCCCGTTTTTTATTGTCGGCATTACAGACTTTTCATCGTCAAGTAAAATAAGAGGCAGTGTGTATATACTATACTATATGTTTGCTGTATATTATATATGTTGTGTAATATATAATTTGAAAGGATATAGATCCTATACAAACAAGCCTTAAATAAATTAGTCAGTTTATTCAGTTTATTGTCCATCTTCACTCTAATAGTTTAAAATCATAAAGAAAACCTCTCTTTCTGATTTGATGCACTATACAGTGTCTTATCAGGTAATCTAAATAACTTGCTTCATATGGTCACATTTAAACGGACATGTTTTATTCATTTAAAATATGACTAAATTAACTTGACTAGATTATTTCATATGACTGAATCAAAATGACTACTTTAGATTGGACAAGTTAAATTAGGTCCAAACGGCTCCTTAAGGTAACCACTGCTCATTTTTACTTTTCCAGTGCAGCATTGTTGTAGCCCTTGGGTTTCTTTACATCTTTCTGTATCCACAGCTCCAAGCGGTTAGTCACTCTGGCACGGGGACTCTCTCCAGCTTATTTGAGGTTTGGGGGCAAACGGACCGACTTTCTCCAGTTTCATAACCTGAAGAATCTTGCAAAGTTTAGAGGGCCTGGACCAGACTATTACCTCAAAAACTATGAAGATGGTGAGGTCTGATTTGCTCATTTTCAATTAGGTATTTTGAATAAATTGTTAGGATTGAATGAGAAGTTTGGAATCAGAAACCTTGATGGAAATGTAACTATATTCTAGAAATACTGTTTGGAATCAAGATATTAAAGCTGTGTCTATGTGGAACAAAAATGTGCATGTACAAACCAAAAATACAGTATATCTGAATAAATATTGATGCATTTCATTTGTTTAGTGCATGCCTGTTGATAAGAAATGGCTTTTTAATTACCCAGACTTTTTTTCAATAAACATGAAAGAGAAAGAAATACATTTTGAGTATCTAGTAAACATGTCCACAATGCAAACCACATGGTTACATTGCGCTTTTAGTGGTTAGTTTGTCCTCTTGATGGGCAGATACGCACAAAGAACTCCAAAAGCATTCTCGCGGTTTCCATGCAGACATAGTGCGCAGTGACTTCGCTCTGGACAAACGAAAGGGTTGCAAGCTGGCCAGCCACCCAGACATGATGCTGGAACTGCAGCGGGAGAAAGCGGCTCAGATGCAACAGGTCTTGTTGAAAGAACAGCTCTCCAACATCTATAGCGACGTCACATTAACAGGTAGGAGATTACAGCAACATGCAGATGCTGAGCTAATACAGTTTATATCATGGTTAGGCTTTGTTTTTTTTTTTGCCTCAGAATTTCACCAAATAGGCTTAAACATATGCATCTCTCAGAAAAAAAGGTACAAAGCTGTGACTGGGGCAGTAGGCCTAACCTAAGGCACAAAACTAAAAGGTAAATTTTTTTTGTTCCTTATTTATCCCTAAATGGTACATATTAGTACCTTTTGAAAGTGTATCGCATCCAGTGACATTTTTGTACCTTTTTTCTGAGATTGTAGGTTTTTAACAAACTATTGAACAGAGAATATTATTAGTGACAATAATGAAGAAAAGATTTTTGAAGTCAGTAGGAAGGTTTAGTCTTGTAGATGGTGTGTTTACGACTGTGTTGTTTTGGGTGCTTTCTGTATTTATAGTTTGGTTTTATGTTGTTTAAGAACTATATTGAGATGTTTTGTCTCCAGGATCATAGGTACGCCAACAAATGCAGTGATGTAATCATTGCTGCTTGTTCCAGAAACGCATAGGTTTCAAATGTTGAGAGACAGGATGGTCCGGCAAACAATCAGCCAAGCATATGGGTTTATTGATCACTTTCAACAGCTGTGCTTTGCCTGTTTGTATAAATCCAGTGTCCAATTTCAGATTTCATAGTCACACACACAGACAATGTCCCAAATGTTCAGATCATTTTATGGGGGAATAAATGTTTGAAAGGCAGAAATCTCTGAGGACTTGTCAGAGACCTTTGTAGTACTGAAAATGTCAGATCAAGGATTGAATGAAGCTGAATGAAGACATATACAAAAGGCTAGTAGAAACAACAGCTGACAATGATTTCAGAAATTATACTTTGTAAAAGCACTTGCTGTAGATCTGAGAAGGAGAGCAGGGAGGTTTTTGCATGCAATTGGAATCAGGTCAGTAGTATCTTTTCTGTGTGTATTAAATCACAAAAAAATGTGTTTTGGTTGGATCAGGTGTGATGTTTTGTTTGGATCATGCAGTGATTTTTGTTGCAAAGACACTGTTGTCGATTGAACTCTGATTCAACACTCTACAAAGGGAATTAAGGGATGTTTTTGGGGTTTTCTTTGACAGACCAGCTTTTTTTTTTTTTTTTTTGCGTAAACGCCCTTGTTTTGTTATTTTTTATTGTTTTGTTATTATATTCATTGCAGTAATCTCAATGTAAACTCAAATCACTATCAGGCACAGTCAACCGGAGAGAGATTATTTGTTTAAAGCAGATTTAGTGTGGAAAGATTGTACTAAGTTTTATGTCAGGCACTGTGTGAGTTTTCTTACATTTTCTTATTAATATTGATATATAAGCTCAGATGAGAATTTCCGAACTGCACTTGACATCAAACCTAATCCGTTCTCATGCCAAATTCAGCAAAAAACACTCTTCTAACTTTTACCCTTATTTTCCAAACATCTTTTTACACACATCTGCGTTTGACAGGGCGGCTGTAAGAGGAATTAGGACTAAACACACTTAGCAAAGGAATCTCTCTCTCCGTGGATCTCAGCATGTGTGCTGTAGCAAAAAGCCAGTCGTGTGCATGACTGATTGGTGAGAATGAAGACACCTGGGTGCATGGCACAGACAGGTCTGTTAGCAATCAAGATGCCCCCTGTGCAGTCACTGGCAGGTGGCAGGGGAATTGCAGTGAGATAGCCCTGCCCCATCCATTTCCACTCGGCACAGGTTGGCTTTTCTGAGCTTTTCTCACTAGAGCTATCAGTAATAGGCGTGAAAGCCCCCTGCCAGTTAAAACAAACCGTGGTGAGACAACCCCAAGGTCATACTAGCTTTCACCTCTACACTCGCTACAGTTTAGTCCAGTTTAGTTAAAGCAAACCATCTGAGACAAGTCGAGGTCAGGGCACTCAAAGCTCTCAAATTGCTACAGTTCCATGCTGCTTTTATGTTCCATGATGTTGCCTGTTGTTTTAGCTCCTTATTCACTGCGTTTTCAGAATTCAGTTATTGTTATTTTGTTATTATTAAATATTGCTTTATAAAAGATTTGCATTTCCTGTATTTATGTTTGTAAGGCACATTTTTTTAAAACCCTAAAGAAATTAGTAACAATAAAAAAGTGTCTAATTAAGTAAGTTTCTTTAACCATACAAAGCCTACTGCATATTACAACTATCATAACTGACGCACACATTTCTAAGGCCTCTAAATTATCATCATGATCAAGACTAGCTCTTTAGCAAGTAACAGGGCTTTTAGTATAATTGTAAAACTGTCCAGCGTCAGGTTGTAGTCTTTTTGCTGTAAAATCTTTACAGATAAGAATAACTTGTTATCCAAAAAACATGTTAAAATGTATCAAATATGATACATAGGTTTTTTGGGGGGAACGTTTATTTCTACATCTCTCAGTCATTATTGTATTGCATTGTATTATATGTTAAACTTCCATTTTTCTGTTTATTATTTAACGTGTCAGGTTTTACATGGTTAACTGATCACTGACGTGCTGCCATTCTAAGATCATTTGCATAACCAAATACTATTTGCTTGGCTAACTGCAGATGCAGCATTTGGTATTTTCAGCTAAAAAAAAAAAAACTGTTGCTTTTGCATGATATCAAGTAGCATATCTTCCATTGCAAACAGAAATTACCTTTAAAGTTTTAGGCTTTAGGCTTTAAAGTTTTAAAGTTTTGCTCTAGGTAAACAAAATGCTCCATTATGACTGTTTTGCTGATTTAATGATACTAAGCAAGTGAATCATTTTCTAAATGGATGCAGGAAAGAAAAGACCAATTGCATTTGATTATGCAAATAGATATAAAAGATGAAATAAAGCATTCAAAATGGCATTTTATTAATTTAGCAGAAATCTACACATTTATTCATTTTGCAAATATTAGGTGGTTACATTAGGATGCATTCTGGTTCCATTTTAAATGGTGAACATTATATAATCTACATAATGAGAGTTTTTATAGTTAACAAAGACATTTAGCAAACAATAACATTGAATATCACAGCTAAGGCTGAAATAACCTACAGCACATACAAGATAGAGTATACGTACAGGCTAAATTGTTTGCAGAAATGTAATACTTAGGGTTGGGTATTTAAAACAAACCCAAACCAGAATGTTTGTGAAAAATCAATCGCATGCATTGTTGAATTGAGTAGTAATGGCCAGTGAAACAGTCACCTTTAAAGACTGAATTGTATGTGCTTATTTGGACATTGTAACCGTACATTTCATCAGCGTGTTAGTTTCCAGTGCTGATGGAGTCAAGGATTCGTGAATATCATAGCATTCATAACCCCACAATAGATGTATATATCATTCAGTACAAGCAGACATATTAAGAATGATAAATATCCACAGTACACCTCTCTAAATGACTTATGCTCGCTTTGTTCGTATCCCATTCCTGGAAACTACTCTCTTCCACGTGCACTGAGTGAAGTGTCAACTGATATGTAGCTAAATGCGGTGAAGGTAAATTCCATTGTGTGCTCAGAGCTCAGCTGTAGAGGGCTTTATAGTTATCATCGTGTGATTCTTAGCGTGTCTGAGGTCATGGTGCACTTTAGATCCGTGAACTGGTTTGCCAGACTCTCAGGAGAGCAGCATTCATCATAAATAACTGTCCCTTTAAATCGCATGAATTTTTTTGCTTTCGCTTTCTGCTCAAAACATTTCTCCAACGTCCACTTACAGACATGAGGGAGTCTGTCTGGGCGATGCTAGCATGTTTGCAGCATAGCTATATTCAAAGCTATTTCCTGCCCGTTTGCTCAAAGACAAATGACAGGAAGTTGTCCAGTGAGGGCAGTTTGAGTATTAGCTACCTGACGGTTAGCCTTTAGCCTCTCGTTTTTTGTTGACAGCAGTAACTACTTGAGTCCTCAAATAGTCATTAAAAGTAAGGAAATGTCATGAAAATGGGCTAGAGGTGGGGAAACCTCCAGTAATCGTTCCGCATACAATAAACGCTTAGATTTGAACAAAAATGAGGAGTGGCTTTGACCAGATGCAGTCTGAAGTGAGATGGTGCCATTTCACAACACTGCATCATTTGTTTTCCCTCCACAAGTTTGGGTAACATGCCCATGTTACTCAGAATTGCTTTTTGGCTCGTTGAGCCCAAGTTTTTGTCCAGTTGAAAACGTTTGCTCCATAGTTGGGCGGTTATTTAATTGAAACGATTGCTGGAGTATTTTGATGAATACCGCATGGTAGAATTTAATTTGCCAGTCATCGAATAGTCTTCCTGCCCTCTTCTCTCTTCTTGTGCTCAAAGTGACACAAAGAGTTTGGAGACTTTTTTCTCCTCCCCCAGCAGCAGTGAAAACACACATGTGTGCACTCAACACAAACACAGTGAGTGTACGTAGAATAGTGTGCTAATGATAGATCTGAGGCTCTGACAGATGTTTCAGCCTGTGAAGGAAAACATGATTTTTTTTTCTATATCTGAGATATTAAGCAGAGACTTACACACAATGCTCAATATTCCCCAGAAGAGTTAAGAGCTGAATATATCTGTAGGCCATACAAATCGCACTCGTGAAGCACAGAGACACTTGATTCACAATTAGATCGATTAATTTGTTTCTTCATCAGAACAGATTTGGAGAAATTACATCACTTGCTCACCACTGGATCATCTGCAGTGAATGGGTGCCGTCAGAATGAGAATCCAAACAGATAAAAACATCACAATAATCCACAAGTAATCCAATGCGATTTACGTCAGTCAATTAACATGTGAAATGTGAAAAGCTGTTTGTAAGAAACAAATCCATCATTCAGGCATTTTAACTTCTAACAGTTCATAATCTATAATAATGCTTTCTCCAGTGAAAAAGTCCATCTCCTGTTGTCCTCTCACATCAAAATCCACCGACACATTTGTTTAGAACTGTTTTAGTCTGTTTTTCTTGTAAACAGAGCTTGATCTGAGCATATTTCTCTCCTGATTCAGACGAGACTACATTTTCAC